AACAAAAAAAAAAAAAAAAAAAAAAAAAAAAAAAAGTCATGAAACAAATTTGAAAAAACGATATCTTATGGAGAAAAATAAACTAAACAAGATTTGTTTGAGCATAACATCCAAATTCCTTACCAAATTTCAAATAAAAATAAAATACGAAAACAAAATACTAACAATAAAAATAATAAAAAAATAAAAAAATTAATTAAATTTAGTGAGTGCACGAGGATCAATAGACTGCACAATTGTAGATTCTTCTCATCAATTTAAGCAACCGCTCATTTAAAACAGTCATGTTAACTGGTGGTGGGTGAACGATGGTGACGAAAATACGATGGCGCTGAAAAAATGATGAAAGGAAGCACCCATGACCATCCCCCCGCCAACTCTCCCCCGTCTCCCACCGTATTTCCTTTCCCTTGGTCATGCCGACACCTCCCCAACGAAGAGGATTACTTTCTAATTGTTATCCTATTTATCTCGCGTCAATCAACCGAAACGTTCGAAAAAACTACCCAAATCCCACGTTACTGCGAGGAATCACCAAACGCTCCCAAAAAAACAGGTCCACTACTCTGTATTTTCACCAACAAGTTGGTACGATACAGCGTCAGACCACATTACCTTGTCTCAATATTACTCCGGGACTGGTCGAGGCCCACAACAAATGAACCAAAAACAAATGAACCTAACCAGGTCGGCGCGTCCCCCCCGCCCCCGAATGGTGAATTCATACGACACGTTGCTACTCCGACGGAAAAACGGGTCATACTGGTTCGAAAAAAGAACGCGCCGTACAACCCACTATCGGGGGGTCCCGCAAAAGGACAAGACAATCCTGGTCTTCCCTCATCGCTCAAAAACGAACCAGGTTCAAAAAGTCCGATAACGGAAAACGAAAATGGACACAGGTTCCAAACCCATTGCAAAAATGCGAAAAAATGACAAACCTGGTACAAACGTAACTACAAAGGAAATACGAAAGCCAAACCAAATCAGACCGAGGGAACTCATCTAGTCCAAACTTAATCTACAACGAAAATCCGAAAAAAGACAATCCTGGTCCAAACGTACCTACAAAGAAAATACGAAAGAAACATTGGCCGACATCACGCGTATTCGCGAACAGTGACGCCATCGTTCTCCAAACAGCCCCTTTATTCCTGCTAAAATTTTGTAACGCATGCCTAAACCAAACCTCTGGGTATTTGACTTATCCTCAATTCAGTTCTCAACAGGAGGACGGATTCCAGAACTTCGAAACCCATGCAAGAGTTCTGTTCAATTCGATACAAGGCGCTGATGATAACTGAGATCTTATCCCTCTTGCTTGACCAAGAGTGAAAATTCTGAAACGTTCGGAATGGCAAGTTCACCCTTTCCCTTAATTGTTTCTCATTCTTTGGGATCTGCACCATTCCAAGGAAAGGAAAACTCTGCCGGATCCTCAATATATAACCCAGAAAGGTCTAGATTCCCTTCTCCTCATCAGTTCTCTTGAGGGTCAATGCTTCGTCGTAACACCTTTCAAAAGATTCCAAAGTCTTCCGGGCTCTCGCTTGATTTCCAGGGATGGAGGGATTGTATGCAGTGCGGCAAACACCGACACGTCGTCCACATATCTCAGCCCCCCGAATGCCCATTTATGACTCCCCAGGGAAATTAGAAAATCCCACTCGCTTTTTGCGCACATGAGGCATGCCAATGGGGGACTCGAGCTTTTTCCCATTGGTATGCCTATCACTTGTTGAAACAGAATCCCACAAGCTCTGGTAAAGCAGTACTCCAGATTGAAAACCACAAAAGAAACAATGTACTAAAACGAAACAAAAGCGAAACCATCCAAACTCTTACATTTACTCAGTCTAGCCTTCCTCCCCCTCTTCTGCACAAATATTCCGTCGAACCCTTTTTCCGAAAACCACCATACTACCCACTCAATCGCAAACTTGATTGCACCGTGGGGCAGGTGGCTAAACATATCTTTTATATTATACGATGCCCCCAAGATTTTCATTTCCTTCCTGCACTTTCGCAGTCTGCAATTCAACTAATTCAGTCTATTCTTCATTTCCGATACTGACTTCAGGTTAAAGTGTCCAGTTTCCGGCAAGGAAAAAAGAAGACCGTTGATTGCTTTTGCCACTGTCTTACCTGCTCTAACAGTTTGTTCACTGAAAGTGGGGCAAATGGGTCGATACCTCCCAGTATCTTTGTGCTTTGGTAGCACATATGCACTCCCCACTTTGCCTTTATCGTCCCACTTCCCGTGCATGGTCACAATACGAGGGTATCCCCCGGGTTGCGATCCAACAGGACCAGCACCAAGCCTGCCAGATCCTTTTTCAAAGAAAGTACCTCTTTCATCCCATTCCCAGACCATCCTTCCTTGCTTAGCACAAAACATCGTTCCACTTCTTCGGCGTCCCAGTGGAGCCGATCCATAGTAAGTCCCACCCTCTCTCCCCAAGAGCTGAAAGCCTCGATCAGTTCGTTCCGCAAAATTATATCCCTGCTACCTTCTTCCACTCTCGGTATGTTTTTAGCATTCTTCACGATCTTCGATGCCTCCGCCAACTCACTTAGTCGGAAGTTCACGTGCCCATCCTTGGTAGGGTAGGGCATACCAGCTCAAATACAACTGGAAGCGCGATTCGAGGCAAACCGCTGATGGTTGTGGAGAACATCCCCAACCGTAGGATTCTTTCTCCAAACAACCCGCGCCCGACACTTTACCATTTCCTTCCAAGCATTCTCAATTCCCAAGCTACTGACCTTCCTTCTAACAGTTCTCATTACTTCATTCTTTTTGATCCTGTCATCGTACCGAATCTTTACAATGATTCTTGTTCTCACGCTAATGCCGAATTTATTTCGAACAGCTCTCGAGATCATCAATCTCGCCTGCGTCCTACTTCGCATTGACGTGAAAGTCTTAACTGCACTGTAATATCGGATCAGATCCGCCAAGCCTTTTTCATACAATCCTTTCTGCCTCTATCTGTTCCTAAACATCCCAACCATATCTTCTTTCAGAGCTAACAACGCTGGTGAGGTCTCAGTCACTTTCCGAAGAATGATTTCCCCCTCTGTTTCAAACAGGTTCTTGCATCGTGTAAGTGGCATGGTACCTCGTCGATACTTGACCCTGGTTTCTGCGAAGAGTCTCGGAACAAGTTTCCAACCTTCTGTCCATACTTTCCCTCCATTACTCCAACCCTTTACTTTTCTTTTTCCCTTTTCTAGGCTACGGAGCAGTTCAAGAATTCTCACCGTACTCCTTTCGGTTCCGTCAACCCGTAGCTCCAGTAGTTTTCCATCGTCCCTTGAGTACCCATCCCCCTTCTTCGCCGCCTTGCCACCCCATTTCTTCCTCTCCTTCTTTCCCGATCTCTTCTTCGATTTCTTAAAGGCTCGCCTAGACCTAACCGATCTAACGTTCAATAACGGCGACCAGTGTCTAATTAGTGCAGTCTCGACCGCCTCCAATTCCCTTTTATCTGTACTTGTGAACAGCGGAAGAGCGACGTACGTGTGCGCTCCTACCTTACCAAACCAGCTGTATACTGTCCTTGCATGTTTGTTTCTCCCCCGCCCTTGGCACACGTATTCTCGCCATCTCACCCACAGATTTCGCTCCGTCAAACCAACATACACTTGTTTATGCCACGGAGAAATTAGCACGTACACACAGCTCTTAGGCTCCGCCAAATCAAAAGTCCCTCTACTCACCTCCTCATTCCAGTGATTCACGATTTTTTTCCCCCAACTTACCTGCCCGGTGAAAATCAGGCCAGTCACTACAGCTCTAAACCTTCTTTCATCGCTCTTATCCTTACCTAGATGAAGTAGACGTAGGTTACTGAGATCTTTAGCCCGTGCAAATAGGTCGTCGCGACGACAAGCACCTCACTCCGAGTCATCCTTACTGAAGGACTGGTCCGACTCCGAAGTGTCTCGTTTCGCCTCTTCTTTAATCAATACACCTTTACTGGACCTCTTAGTGACAAGCGTCGTCATCGGTAATGGAATATTCGATGGGTCATAAGCCACGGCGGAACTCCAAATAACCAGCCTTTTGATAGCCAGTTCTCGGTTACCGTACGTAACCTTCTCCCGACGACAGACCTCCTTCAATTCGTCTATGGTCAGCGCGTCATAGAATTCTTGACAGTCGTGCTCGAATTTCTCCTTCCCACCCGGCCCACATGCTGCCGTGATGTGTTTAAGAGACAGGTCAATTTTTGTCGGTGTACTCGATGTCGCCGTGTCCTTAATTAGTTCCCCCTTCATTGTTTCGATGCGCATTTTTGCCTCCTCGGAAAGTCTTGTACTCGACCTCTTCTCCGGAGTTGTCATAGGTGGATTGTTCCCAATAAGCACTTCTGGACCCCGTTTCCTTTTCTCCATCAGTTTAAATTTTGCTGCTGGTATACGTAGTGCAACCAGCTCCTCATCCTCCGCTTCTTCCTTCCCAAAGGTTTGTTGTGCGATCCATCTTCTAAGCCGTTCTTTCTCCTCATTCACTGCCTCCTCCCGACTTGCGATCTTCGCTTGTCTCTTTCCTTTAGCTTCGTAGCATTCTTCCTCATCCTCTCTTTCTTTCCTCATTTCGTGTCGAATAATCTTCATTAATCTAGCGTCCCTCTCCTCCTCCATTAGTCTTCAAGTTCTCTTTTCCCTCGCCGCCCTTCTTGCTTCCTTTTTCCGCCGTGCCTCCTCCTCTACCCTCTTTCTCTCCGCAGCTCTTTCTCTGTCCATTCTCTCGCGCCTCTCCTCCGCCATATGTACAAAATACTCCCTCATCAGAGTGTCCGTACTCTCTTCCACCTTCTCACTTCCACTATCTGCAGAGCGACTGCGACGAAAACCCAAACCATCCAATCCGATCGTCGTTCTTCTGCCTGTTCGTGCTTGGCCCGCTGGTGATGCCGAAGGGACGAACAACCTCCCTTGTGCTCTAGCTCTCCAGAATTCGGCGCAATCCCGGATGAAATGTCCCCCTTCCTCGCACTTGTAGCATTTTCGTCCGTCTGGTGGGAGCGCCCCACTCCCTTCACTCCCTCGTCCCGACTCTCCTTCTTCGCTCATCCTGAACTCACTTGTAGTACTCCCGGAAGTCGTTCTCGCAGCTTCTCTTGTGTGTATATGTCACCAGGCCGCCACCTCCACTGGGTACAATCGCCCAATTAGTTACGCCTCTTGATCGTAGGATCAATAGACTGCACACCAGGCACAGAAGGACTGCACACCGGGCACAGTAGACAACAATCTGGTAAAAGTCAATATGCAACTGTCGATTCTTCTCATCAATTAAAGCAACTGCTCATTTAAAACAGCCATGTTAACCGGTGGTGGGTCAACGATGGTGACGAAAATATTAGCGATGGCGCTGAAAAAATGATGAAAGGAAGCACCCGTGACCATCCCCCCGCCAACTCTCCCCCGTCCCCCACCGTATTTCCTTTCCCATGGTCATGCCGACACCTCCCCAACGAAGAGGATTACTTTTTAATTGATATCCTATTTATCTCGCGTCAATCCAGCGGAAACTTCGAAAAAACTATGCAAATCCCGCATTACTGCGAGGAATCACCAAACGCTCCGAAAAAACAGGTCCACTACTTTGTATTTTCGCCAACAAGTTGGTACGATATAGCGTCAGACCACAGTACCTTGCTCAATATTACTCTGTAACTGGTCAAACCACAACAAATGAACCAAAAACAAATGAACCTAATCAGGTCGGTGCGTCCCCCCCGCCCCCGAATGCTGAATTCATACGACACGTTGGCACGAGCACATTTCGACACCGCCATTTTTGCCAATTTTTTTTTTTTTTTGGCACAGCTAAATGCCCTGAAAATCTATAAATGTGTACTTCACATCATGCAAATCACACTAAAAAAGTTTCAAAAAATAATCAAATTGTTAAGACCCCGAACTAAAGTGAAAACAAAAAATAAAAAGTGAAACAAAACGTGGGCGAGCACGTTTTGACACCACCATCGTTGGCGATTTTTAATTCATATTTGGCTGCGCCAAATGACTTGAACTTTACAGGCACGTACCTCACGTCATAGTGAACTAAAAGGAAAACATTTAGGAAAAAAAATAAAAAAATTACGCCCCGAAATAATTTTTGGCGGGGGCCGAACGCCGCCAGGTTCGGACCCCGTACGGGACCCCGAACGCCCGTACCTACGGGCTGGTGACACTGTATATATCTCTCTATGTCTATATATATATATAGGCAGTTACGTTTGTGATAATATATTCTACAACTTCGCTAGCTTCCTGCTACGGTTTTTTTCGGTCAGGTCGAGCGGCAGTGGTCGGGGCCGTTACTAGGCGGCCATGCTCTACCTCTAGTGCCAGCTGCATGTCTGGAATATATTTTTTGGTAATGACAGACCTTCATTTGTTTCGTGAATGTTTTGCTGGCTTGTGATGGGGTGTGAACCGACAGTCTGTAGAGTTTTTCATCTGGTGTGGGTGAGTGATAGTTTACTTTGATTTTGGTTAAGGTAGATTAGCATTTAAAGTGTAATTAGTGAGGGGATTCTGCAGACTGTTAGGGTTCACCCTCCTAATGAGTGTGTGAAACTCCGACGAAACAGTTTCTCACATCCCCTCGTTTGTTGTCCTCTTCTCTCTCTCTGCCTACGGTTTACCGGGTAGTTCTGTTTGTGACGATATATGCTACGACTCGCTAGCTTCCTGCTACGGTTTTTTCCGGTCAGGATGAGCGGCAGTGGTTAGGGCAGCTACAAGGCGGCCATGTTGTGCCTTTAGTGCCAACGACATGTCTGGAGTGGATTTTTTGGCTGTGACAGACCTTTCTGTGTTTCGTGGATGTTTTGCTGGCTTGTGATGGGGTGTGAACCGACAGTCTGTAGAGTTTTTCATCTGGTGTGGGTGAGTGATAGTTTACTTTGATTTTGGTTAAGGTAGATTATCATTTACAGTGTAATCAGTGAGGGGATTCTGCAGACTGTTGAGGGTTCAGCCTCCTGATGAGTCGGTGAAACTCCGACGAAACAGTTTGTCACAGCCCCTCGTTTGTTGTCCTCTTCTCTCTCTCTGCCTACGGTTTACCGGGTAGTTCTGTTTGTGACGATATATGCTACGACTCGCTAGCTTCCTGCTACGGTTTTTTCCGGTCAGGTCGAGCGGCAGTGGCCGGGGCCGTTACTAGGCGGCCATGTTGTGCCTCTATTGTCAGCGGCATGTCTGGAGTGTATTTTTTGGCTGTGACAGACCTTTCTTTGTTTCGTGGATGTTTTGCTGGCTTGTGATGGGGTGTGAACCGACAGTCTGTAGAGTTTTTCATCTGGTGTGGGTGAGTGATAGTTTACTTTGATTTTGGTTAAGGTAGATTATCATTTACAGTGTAATTAGTGAGGGGATTCTGCAGACTGTTGAGGGTTCAGCCTCCTTATCAGTCGGTGAAACTCCGACGAAAGAATTTGTCACAGCCCCTCGTTTGTTGTCCTCTTCTCTCTCTCTCCTTTCGGTTTACCGGACAGTTCTGTTTGTGACGATATATATATATATATAAGGTTGCCAAGTCGAACCCCTAAGCTAACCCCCAAACGTATGGGCGTTCGAATCCCCGTTCAGTTCAACCTGAAGGGGTTCAAACCCCGCAAAAAAATATTTTGGCACCTAAATATTACTATGTTTTTTTTAAATTTATTATATATATATATATATATGTATGTATATATATATATAGGGTTGAAAAGTCGAACCCCTAAGCTAACCCCCAAACGTTCGGGCATTCGAATCCCCGTACCGAGCCCGAACCTGAAGGGGTTCAAACCCCGCAAAAAAAAAGTTTGGCAACTAAATATTACTATGTTTTTTTAAAATTTATTTTGTGAGTTCTTTGTGATGTAAAGTATGTTCCTCTTAATTTTGAATCTATTTTATTTAGCCAAAATAAAATAATAAATCGACAAAGATGGTGGTGTGAAAACTTCCCTGCCCACTTACTATTTTTTTTTTTTTTTCATTTTTTTAATTTTTTTTTGGGGTATGATAAAGAAAAAAACAATTCAAACTTTATTTGTAACTTCTCCATTATGTAAGATACACATTCAAAAATTTTCATGGCCTTTTACATAGCTAAAAAAAAAAGAAACATCACCAAAGATGACCCACTCAATAATTCAAGTTTTTTTTTTTTTTTTTTTTTTAATTGATTTTTGTTTCAAATTTAGTAAAGAATTTCAATGTAACGTTGGGCAAATATTGTTTCGTTTATTTTTTTGCATACCATATATTTTTTTCAGAGTTTTTAATTTTCATTTTTTTTTTTTTTTTTTCCGCGTTCGACCTAACGGTTGAACTCGTCGAGGGGGGGTGTCGAACGTTCGGGCGCTCGGGTTCGAGCATTCGTCCCGTCTTGAACGCCGACAACCCTGTATATATTATATATATAGAAAAAAAAAAATAGACAAACCTTTATTCGTTTCGTGAGTGTTTTTTTTTTTTTTTACATGAATAGTTTTCATTTAAACTTTACCGGAAACGAGCCCGGTGTCCCTTACAAAACATTCACAGCCCCATATTTGCTCCCATCTACTCCGACCGGGTGCGAGTCCAGGCTGTAGAAAAAGAACCAAACGCAACCCCTCAACCGGCTCCGGAAACAAGCCCAAACGCAATCCGTCAATGAATCACAATCAGCAAAGTAAAGAAGTAAACAATGCTATTAAGGACAGTATTGGAACCTACATCATCCCTTATTATAGACATTTTAATCTACATTATAATATACATTATAATCTATCTAGTAACATATTGTTGTCTATTGTAGTCTACTGTATAAGCCTGTATAAATTTGTACTCCTTCCGCATCCGCATTAGAGATCAGAACTGCGTTTCGGTACACGTCTGCAAAGAGAAGGATGTAAATGTAAGCTCATGTACCCCATGGACGCCCACAGTGATGCTCACCAAGCCCGACAACTCTGTCCAATGTGAATAAAACTTGTTCATCGGTTTGGTACTATACCCTTTGTTGACTACTTTATGTGTCAAGTCCGTGGTTATGGTCTGTTTAATATTTAACTTAACTTCCGCTCTAATCATAGGAGGGGTAAGTTGTTCCTTTCTTCTAATTGCCGAGCTCCTAAGGTTCCATAACGTCCAGAGGATCGCCCCCCTCAATGTTTCTTCATCATAGCCAAGTGGTCCAAGAGAGAATTGTCTGCGAGACGCATTGCCTAAAAGAACAAAATCATCAGTCCATCTTGTAAAATTGTGTAGGATCAAAGAGACGTCTCCCCTCTACCATTCCCAAAATGTTATGGACAACTCACACTGACCGTCGATTGATTTACGGAATCCGGTTAATGGACGATGTTTCTTTTTTTTTGGCTTACCAATGCGGTAGTTGTAAATCATTAGTGACTGCCAACCGAATCCGACGAAAGTTCAAAAACTGCTACCCGAAGACCCTGACACTGAAACGTACAGAGCAAAAAAATAGGGTATGGGATTTTTTGGGGTGTCGAACGAAAGTCAAACAGGATTTTCCCTTTTTCAGGAGTACGCAAAGGAAAAAGAATTAAGAAAGTATCTGGATCACAGAGAACGTAATTTTTAGGACAGGCCAGGATTCAAACTCTTGGCCAAGTCGAAAACAAAAACTGGCCGGAGTCACAGGCTGGTTACATCGAATTGATAGAAATACAACGGATCGAACACAGATTCCGAAGCAAGTCCTGACTCTACAAAAGGAGTACCGGGCCAAGGGTTTCTGGGACCGGTTTGTGGGTAATGCGGTCAGGAACTTCACGCGGACGAGGGACCATATTTGACAGTTCACTGCGGATTTGCTGGGAAAATAGGAAGAGTTAGGAACTACTAGTATAGGAGCGAACTATGAATAACAGTAACAAACTTTGTTCGTTCTCTTCAGCACACTCGCACAGGCAATCGTCTCCTGCCAGCGTTTCGACGATGGCTGCCGACGACCTGAACCATTTTTTATTGTTGGTACGATTGGCGGATCACAGGGTGGGTGGTTGGAAGGTGGTGGCGGAAGGGGATGAGACATGTATGATGTGAATTCTTTCCATTTGACATCCCGTACGCGGGTTATTGTTGGACTTGGACTCTCATTGGTCATTTTGATCTGTGATTGCATTTCTGTGAT